TCACTGTCAGTGAAGACTATTGCTTCAGTTCCCTTGAATCGTTTATGGCTAGGCTCCTGGGGAGGAAGTCTTAGTAACTTCTCGAGTTGATGCCTTCATAGCTGTGGTAGAAAGAACCTCGAGAGATGTACCATAAATAGCTCCTACATTGTGAGTGATCTGCTTTGTAGGATCGGGTGGGAGAACTTGCTGGAATGGTTGTGCCCCCCTCGAGTGACTGCTGAGTAGATTGGGGTGCATTAGTTCTCGATTGCCAATTGCTTCCTCGATTATCTCCTCGAGGACGTTGAGGATTTCTCTTGGGAAAGTTACGGTATCCCGTGAACTTTCCTCCTTTTTGTCGAGGAGCATGCTGCACGTACTGTTGGAATTTTCCCAACTTCACCCCAGCTTCTATTTCTCACTTTAGTCCCCTACATTCTTTAGTGTCGTGGCCATGGTCCTTATGATACTCGCAGTACTGATCCGTGGACCTGTTGGGATTGTGAGTCAAGGGCTTTGGAACGGGGAGCTTCTCTTCGTGGATTTGGAGGATTTTGCATCGAGGCTTTAGCAATGGGGTTAGTTGTCTATCGAGTTTAGGCAAAGCTGGTTTAATCTTCGTTGTAGATTTGAACTTATCCCTTCCACTCCGATCTCCTACTTTAATCTCCGGATATGCTCTTCCGAACGAGTCCCAGAAGGTTGCGCCAGGAGCAGTGGAAAATTCCATGTGGGAGATCTCGTGGTTAGGAGCTTCTCTGTGACTTTCACCCCCTTCTTTACCTGGAACTTTGCGTTTACCTTTTTCTTCTCGAGCAAAGCCAACGTCTTGCATGCTTCTTTCTCGTCAATCAAGTCGTGCAACTCTTGATCTGTAGGATGGGGCAGACCTAGCGAGCAATAGCGTTTGTATTCTTCCAATATGAACTTTTTCTTTCTTTGATTAAGGTTATTATCATCTTTCAACTTCTTAAGTTCTGCTTCGATCTATGCCAACCATTCCCCGTTTCCTAGATCGGGTGTTTTGCGGTAGTTGCTAGGATTTTCTTCCCTCTCCTCAGTGGGAGGTTTTTCCCTCCTTGATTGACGTTTGCCTTTCTTTTGCTTATGTTTTTTCTTGGAACTTGGCCAAGGTTTCGTTGTCATCGGGGCTTGGTTATGTCCCTATTCATGCCGCGCTGGACTGGGATTTGTTGATCACTACCATTGTGTTTGGGTGAGAACCCTAATTTGCAATAGCGGTAGAGAAGTTAAGGAGGTTTTGGAAGCTTGAGAAAGTTTATGACACAACCCCTAGTTTTCGGGTCCTACTGAGCGTGCCACTTGACGAAGTCTGGATTTGCACCGCCGATTTAACAGTAGAATTCCGACTAGGGCTTCTTGCAAAAGAGAACCACGGGAATATCCAGAGGGTAGACACTCTGATGCTTAAGTCAGTAAAAGGGGTTTAAGGAACGTCTGTGAGTAGTGTTTTGTGCTATAGATAGCGTACCTGTATTCTGGTGTGATCAACCCTATTTATAGGCATGGAATTATCTTGAGCGATACCGAATCCTACTAGGTTTCACACTCCGGAACCGCCTCTTTAAGGTAGGTTTCCCTTCGTACAAATTTTAGGATCTAATCCAAAAACATTACACAGCCATTCGGCAAGAAAACAAAATCTCTTCCCAATTGTAATTACATCAGAATCAACCTTCTTCAAAGGAGAGCCAACTTTTCTTCTTACAAAAGAAGAAGATGAACATTTGGTAGCCCCCTTTCAACTTGCCCTCGTCGGTAAACTTACCAAAGGCATACCAAAAATGGATTATTTGCGGAAAGAATTCCAAACAATTGGCTTCAAAGGAGACTTTTCACTAGGATCGATCGATTACTGACATGTCCTTGTCTGCTTTGACCTTGAGGAGGATTATCATCATTGCTGGTTAAAAGGCTTATGGACCTTTGACAAGCACCGGATGTGAGTTCTCAAATGGACTACTGATTTTAATCTGGCGCATGAAAGCTCCATTGTTCCAGTCTGGATCACCTTTGAAGGCCTTCCCATTCATCGATTCAACAAAGAATATCTGTGGAAACTAGCTAGTATTATTGGAACCCTCTTCAAATTGACGTCCCAACCCTCAACATGTCGCGACCATCTATGCACGTGTCTGTGTAAAGTTGGATTTTCTCAAGGTGCATCCCATTCGAATCTGGCTGAGGGTAGAAGGATCGACTTACTTTCAATTTATTTATTATCAGAACATGCCATTGTATTGTGTTGAATGCAAAAGGATAGGCCATGATCTTCATTCATGTCGGCAAAACACATCATCAACAACTCAACATTCAAAACCACAATAAAAACAGTGCTCGCAAGGGAAGCAACTAACAGCTCAGAATTTGGACAAACCGGTGTCGGCACCCTCTAATGCTACGCATCCCCTAAAGAAAGCCATTGATGCCGACGGAATTCCGGCCACTTCTACCGTTGCTATCGCGAGGCCAATTTTGCAATCTCTCACTGATGGTGTCGATTCACTCTCTAATGATCTGCCCTCTGAAAATATGCCTCCGTAGTTGCAAGTCACGCCACACCCTTCGAGAAACCAAGAGGGATTGACCTCCAGGTTGAACACAATGGAGAAAATTAGAATTCCAGTAGACGTCCCTGACAGCCCACCAATTCACAATTGCACAGAAGTAGAAGAGATTCAAAAAAGCTTCGATGCGTGACTGTTGAGCATACCATGTCAGTTGAGTCTCTGCAAGTTGAGACATATGCATTAGAGACCCAAATCATCGCGGCTGATGCTGAGGAAGTTGCACCACCATTGGACACTGTCGCTGCTGAAGAAATTGTGCCAGCACTGGAAATTATCGTTGTTGTTCCAATAATTGATGGCGAGAAGAATCTATCTCGATCAACAATGGAGGATGGCCGGCGGAATATTCCGGTGACCAGCGACGGGCAGATTCCAAATTTGGCTGCGGAAAAAGACGCCATCTAATCCCGCATATCCTTTTGATCTTGATTATCCAAATTTGAATTCAAGTCTCAGCTTACTTGCCGCACCTAACACGTCTTTAATCCCTAGCGCTTATCCCTCCGAATTTGACTTGGAAAGTTTAGGCTCACATGGAAAAGAGTTGATGTTGCAGTCAACTACAACACCGTCTGATCCTCAATCTTCCGCAGTAATTGCGAAATCACTGCCTCCAAAACTTTTACCGCAACCAAATTAGAATTTTCCAAATTTAAACTTGGAGAATTCTAATTCAAACTCACCTCTTCCCTCAAATTCTGAAAACACCATCCCTCAGAATAATTCAGGTAACAGCTCTACAAAAAAAAATTAAACCCTGCAGCAGCCGATTTTTCCTTGTCCCCTCGATCACAAGTCCGGTTACTTGAAGTTCTTCTCCCTATTTCAATCCCAGAATCCAAACAATATCCTAAAGATGATTTGGATGTAGAGTTGAATACCAAGCCTTTTAACCCAAGTTACTCGATTGAAGAAATAAATTCTGAAGGTGGACTAAATCATGCTTCAATTGGTTCCGACGATGAAGGTTTTGATATGGAATATGCAATGGAACAAGAATTCTTTTATAGTGAAATTTTTGCTCCAACATATCACAACCATTCGGAAAAAAACAAAAGCTAAAAACAAAGTCCAAGTTCGTCGGTCTGCTAGATTGAACATGAACTAAACTTTACTTTACGAACAAAAATGTATTTGATATAGGATTTTGTATATTCGCTGCCCTATTTTTCCTTTATTTTTATTTTTAATAAAATGTTTATGAAAACAAAATCTAGACCAATTTGTTTATAGAAGAAAAACAAAACATATGTTCCATGTCGGCCATCACAAAGGCGGCTAGTCCAAAGCCAAATCCTCAGTCCTCTCTACTCCAAGTGTTGGCTACTGCGATGGAATCATGCCTTAAAAAGAGGTGCCAGTTTCAAATGTATAGTAAAACAATCTATAGTGTACGATACACCTCAGAAACAATGGAATATTGAAATATGAGAACGATAAAAATCAACAGCATTAGAAAAATAGAGGAAGTGAAATAACCTTTTTTATAGGGGTTTTAAGGGCATTATTAATAATTCAAGATGGTCATTGTAATTTTGCACTAATGATGATGGTTTAAAGAGGGTAAGATTACATACAACATATTGATCATCACTATAGCTTGCGTAGCCTAACCATTAAAATAAAGGCCAATTTTCTTTAGAAGTCAAAAATCTTGAGTGTATCAAAATCTCAAATTTTTTTTGATGATAGGCATAGTATTAGTAGAACTCCAAAAAATTTTAGGATCTAATCAAAAAATTTACACAGCCATTCGGCAAAAAAACAAAATCTCTTCCCAATTGTAATTCAATCAGAACCAACCTTCTTCAAAGGAGAGCCAACTTTTCTTCTTACAAAAGAAGAAGATGAACGTTTGGCAGCCCCCTTTTAACTTGCCCTCGTCGGTAAATTTACAAAAGGCATGTCGAAGATGGATTATTTGTGGAAAGAATTCCAAACAATTGGATTCAAAGGAGACTTTTCACTAGGATCGATCGATTACTGACATGTCCTTGTCTGCTTTGAACTTGAGGAAGATTATCATCATTGCTGGTTAAAAGGCTTATGGACCTTTGACAAGCACTGGATGTGAGTTTTTAAATGGACTACGGAGTTTAATACGGAGCATGAAAGCTCCATTTTTCCAGTCTGGATCACCTTTGAAGGCCTTCCCATACATCGATTCAACAAAGCATATCTGTGGACTCTAGCTAGTATTATTGGAACCCCTCTTCAAATTGACGTCCCAACCCCCAACATGTCACAACCATCTATGGCACATGTCTCTGTAGAGTTGGATTTTCTCAAGGAACATCCCATTCGAATCCGGCTGAGGGTAGAAGGAAGGACCGACTTTCAATCTATTTATTATGAGAACTTGCAACCATATTGTGTTGAATGCAAAAGGATAGGCCATGATCTTCATGTCAGCAAAACACATCATCAATGGCTCAACATTCAAAACCACAATCAAAACAGTGCCCACAAGGGAAGCAACTAACAGCTCGGAATTTGGACAAACCGGTGCCAGCACCCTCTAATGCTGCGCATCCCCTAAAGAAAGCCATTGATGCCAAAGGAATTCCGGCCACTTCTACTGTTGCTATCGCGAGGCTAATTTTGAAAGTTGTCTCTGGTGGTGACGATTCACTCTCTGATTATCTGCCCTCAGAAATTGTGCCTCCGTAGTTGCAAGTCACGCCGCACCCTTCGAGAAACCATGAGGGATCGACCTCCGGGTTGAACGCAACGGAGAATATTAGCATTCCAGTGGACGTCCTTGAAAGCCCACCAATTCCCAATTGCACAGAAGTAGAAGAGATTCGAAAAAAGCTTCGCTGCGTGACTGTTGAGCAGACCATGTCAGTTGAGTCTCCGCAAGTTGAGACAGATGCATTACAGACCAAAATCATCGCGGCTGATGCTGAAGAAGTCGCACCACCATTGGACACTATCGCTGCTGACGAAATTGTGCCACCACTGGACACAATCGTTGTTGTTCCAATAATTGATGGCAAGAAGAATCTATCTCGATCAACAATGGAGGATGGCCGGCGGAATATTCCGGTGACAAGCGACAGGCAGATTCCAAATTCTGTTGCGGAAAAAGACGCCATCTAATCCCACATATCCTTCTGATCTTGGTTCTCCAAATTTGAATTCAAGTCCTAGCTTACCTGCCGCACCTAACGTGTCTTTAATCCCTAGCGCTTCTCCCTCCGAATTTGACTTGGAAAGTTCAGGCTCACATGGAAAAGAGTTGATGTTACAGTTAACTACAACACCATCTGATCCGAGATCTTTCGCAGTAATTGCGAAATCACTGCCTCCAAAACTTTTACCGCAACCAAATCAGCATTTTCCAAATTTAAACTTGGAGATTTCTAATTCAAACTAACCTCTTCCCTCAAATTATAAAAACGTCATCTTTCAGAATAATTCAGCTAATAGCTCTACAAAAAAAATTAAACCCTGCAACAGCCGATTTTTCCTTGTCCCCTTGATCACAAGTCCCTTTACTTGAAGTTCTTCTCCCTATTTCAACCCCAGAATCCAAACTATATCCTAAAGATGATTTGGATGTAGAGATGAATACAAAGCCTTTTAACCCAAGTTACTCGATTGAAGAAATTAAATAAATTCTGAAGGTGGACGAAATCATGCTCAAATTGGTTCCAATGATGAAGGTTTCGATATGGAATATGCAATGGAACAAGAATCCTTTTATAGTGAAATTTCTGCTCCAACATATCACAACCATTCGAAAAAGCAAAAGCTAAAAACAAAGTCCAAGTTCGTCGGTCTGCTAGATTGAACAAGAACTAAACTTTACTTTACGGACAAAATTGTATTTGATATTGGGTTTAGTATATTCGCTGCCCTATTTTTCTTTTATTTTTATTTTTAATAAAATGTTTATGAAAAAAAAAAACCAGACCAATTTTTTTATAAAAGAAAAACAAAACATATGTTACATGCCGGCCATCACAAAAGCGGCTAGTCCAAAGCCAGATCCTCAGTCCTCTCTACTCCAAGTGTTGGCTGCTGCGATGCAATCATGCCTTAAAAAGAAATGCCAGTTTCAAATGTATAGTAAAACAATCTATAGTGTACGATACACCTCAGAAACAATGGAATATTGAAATATGAGAACAATAAAATCAACAGCATTAGAAAAATAGAGGAAGTGAAATAACCTTTTTTATAGGGGTTTTAAGGGCATTATTAATAATTCAAGATGGTCATTGTAATTTTGCACTAATGATGATGGTTTAAAGAGGGTAAGATTACATACAACATATTGATCATCACCATAGCTCGCGTAGCCCAACCATTACAAGAAAAGCCAATTTTCTTTAGAAGTCAAAAATCTTTATTGTATCAAAATCTCAAATTTTTTTGATGATGCGCATAGTATTAATAGAACTCCCAATGTTCTTTCAAAAAATTCTGAATATCCAATTCGAATGCGCCGCTTCATTTATTCGATGCTTCACCCACGAAACTACTGAATAAGAACAGCAAGCAAGTATTGAAATTTGAATCAATAAGCATTTTTGCACCATACAACAATATGCACATCAAAACACACAAAATGAATGTAGTTGATAACATTCAATCCAATCAAATAACAAAGGAAATCCAGCAATGGTTTGATGTATTAATTTACTCTCTTCACACTTAATAACAGTAGCAATATTGAAAACATTTATCTTCTTTGACAAAATCCGTGATTGTGTTGGTGTGGTTAATTAGCTATGTTGGACCTGATGATGGCATAATCATGTAGTCAAAGGGCCATACCTCTTCGGCGCTCGTAGAGTTTTGGCTTTGAGGGATGAATTGTTCACATTTGAAGGATGTTAATCTCAGAAATTATACAGTCTTGGGTGACTCTTCTATGGCCATTTTAACAACGGTAGGTTAGGCACTGCTCTACTATATGTTTGCCCATTCATCTTGAAGTTGGACAATTGGTGATAGAACTATCTTTTGAGGCTTCGCAATAGATTCCACAAAAAATGATGTCTCCCCTAATTCTCAGTTGTTGGATGATAATACATCGTGTTGCCACTAAATTTCTTGTGCCAATACTGATTTCCGACAAGCGGTTTTTTTTTTTTAATAAAAAAAGTCACTGTTTCAAAGGGATAAAGTGGACAACGCAATAACTTAATTAAGTTACTTTGAAACCTATTCTTTGGAATTCTTTCCACAAATAATTCATTGTTGGTCGACCGTTTTGAATTTTCCGACAAGAGCAAGCCGAAATGGAGCAGCCAATTTGTCATCTTCCTCCTGTGTTAGAAGGAAAGTCAGCTCTCCTTTGTATTGTGTTGGTTCGGATTGAATAATGGAAGCTTTTGGTTCAGAAGAAGCCATGAAAGCTTTGGATAATATTCTTGGATTTGGTTTTTGGCCTCCAAGAATTTGAGCAAAGGACGGTTTATTGTTTAGGGGTTGGACTAGGCTACTGGCCGGCGGTTGATCGCCGGCCAGTAGATGAATTTGCCGGTTTCAGTTTTAGGTAGTAATTAGTACCTCATCACCGCTCGTTCTGTATTTACTTCCTTTTCTTGTTTACTTGATTAAGTTACTTTTTCTCTATGTGTATAAACTGAAATCAGCCTATACAGGTAAACGTGACAGTAAGAATACATGTGTCATTTAAGCCCGTAAATATTACTCTCTTCTTCTAAGAAAAATAGTTCAATTTTAAAATTTTTATTCAATAAAATGAACTTTTTTGAAGTATTATTCACTAAACTATAGTGATTTATAACTGCTGAATCATTTTTGCGTTTTCATAGTGCTGAAATGAGGTTTTTGATGTTCTTTATTCCCAAATGACCAGTGTGACACTTAAATGCTTGAAATCTTCAAAACTAGATGGTGATAAATTTGCTCAATATCTTATTTGAAAACTTTGGAGTAAAAATATAGAAATCAAGATCGGATACACATGAACTTGTTCCCAACCTGCCCCAATTGCAAGCCAGACCCCTTTCTTAGAGTTGAACGCCATATAGCAATAAGATGGTATTGGAGGTCATATATTTCAGGATGATTTGGAAAAGGTCGTGAAGGTGATAAATCACTTAATCCAATATTTTATAAACAGTTTACATGGGTGAATCAGGAACTCAACTGTAACTCTCTCACTGTTTAGTTTACTCATTATTGCATACCCTTACTGTAACCGTTGATCATAATCAAACTGATGTAGGCACATGTGCAAATTGCAATGCAGTGTAACCAATTTTGGAATTAATAATGACAAATAGTGAATAAAACAGGAGTAGCCTGGAGGGGATATCCCCTTTATATTGATTCATTTAAAAGTTATATTACATAAAAAGAGGGGTACGTACACTAAATAAACACGCGCACTTAAAAATTTGCAACCATATTGTAATACATTGCATTGAGCTCCGATCCAATTTGGCTGGTCTCTTCGATCTTGTTGCGCCTAAAGATTTGCAATCATTCGTTCTCAGGCTTCCTGTTATTATCCCTTTCTGGTAGAGCTGCTGATGGTTTATCGTGTGCCATTTGCGCGTTCCGGTTCCTCCTCCCCAAAATTTCCTTCTTTGCACAGGTGATTCCTTCATGGCACAATGCACACAATGGATATACCATTGTGATGGACATTGTGCCAGTTTGGATGCATTCTTGTGCGCCCATTTGTGTCTCTTGTAACTCTATATTAAGAGGCTCATAATTGGATGTCTTCGGGCAGAGTTGAAAACAATGCTAAAGTCCTCAACATTGTGGCCAGCGACGAGTCTGATTTCACTTTCCTCATTGTCGCAGCTTCATTCAATTCTTTCAACTGAGTGGTTGGCACGGTCATGGTCGACAAGGACGGCGACGATCTAACCAACCTCAACTTCTGTAACAAACTCTTGTTTCCCTCCTCAGCCTCTACTTCAGCTTTAGTGTTAGTCATCAAATCATGAAAACCGAATCCTGACGATCCTGCAAACATACCCGAATCCACACCGATGCCTCCCTCGTCACAAAGTGAAGCCGAAACGTTCAAAATCCCATAGAAGTTTCCGGATGGGCGGTGAACGTTGACCGGGGTGATCATCTTTCCGAGAAGGTTACTGACAAGGCATCTTGCCGTGCCAACCAGGGAGTCCTTGAATATGTGATGCCCTACGGTGTAAATCTCCACATTGAAAGCCGCGGTGGGGCTGTTGAAAAATTCGGAAGAAACCCTGAAGAGGAACTTGTCGTTCCAAGTAGGGTTTTTACCTCCAAGATAATCCGTGCGAGTTCGTAACTTCTTGGACGAATCCTCAACCCAAACAACTGCGTAAGTTTCAGTCTTGCTCTTCGAACAAACCTTCAAGCCTTGAGCCGACACCAAGTTTATCTCCAGAACCATATCACAGCTTTTCTTCTTCTTCTTCTCCTCCATCATCAGGGCAACCTTCGCCATCAACAAGGTGATCCCCGAAAGAAGATGAGAAATTCAAGATTGTTTCCTTTTGCTTTCTTTTTCTCCTGAAAGCTTTATGGGAAAACCTACCCTATGTATGTGCATATTTATAAGGTAGGATTGGTGTCGGTTGCTTTATATCTTTCCCAAAGGAAGTATGGAAGGAAAAATGTTTTGGATTTGACTAACTTAGGCACCGACTAGTAGGCACCACTACTACTAGTACGTACAAATATGGGGTAGTATTTTCTTTTTGCAATGTACAATATCCGCCCTTTACTACAAGTCTACAAACCACCACATTAACTAAATCCCCATTAACAAAACTCGTATTGCTCAACCAGGCGAAAGTGTAAACATATTCATAAACCCAATTAATTCTTCTTTTTAAGTTAGAAAAAAACTGAAGATAGATTTTGTCTTTTTTAAAGAGGTATTTTTGTCTTAATAAACCAACAAAAATAATAATTTGCTGAGAACGTTAATTTTTATTACCAGAGAACAACAATCATATAAATTTGTATGTTCCCTGCGAAAGAACATAAATAAGTGTACAATTTCAACCCTCTACTTTTTCTGTAAATTTTCGAAAATGGAAAATATAAATTACTAATTCTTTTAGAACAGAAGCAATATAAATTATGGTGTCATTGAATTGTTCGAGAAATTGCTCTAGCGAGATCAGAAAGTTGAATTTGAAGAGTTGAATTTGAAGGGTCAAGAGCTGGTGAACCAATTTCGGTGTGCGGATGATTGGTAATCCAGCTTCAACCCTTGCAAATGGTGAAGGCTTGCCAAGGAAAGATAGTAATTGACATTGTGTTTCTCTTTCTTGACATGATTAATATAAGTTTCTGCTTCTCCATGCCGTTCTTTCAAAATTAAATAGTGCAGCTGATAACTGTCAAGTGTATTTTGTTCAACTTAACAAATGTTTGGCTATTTGCATTTACTAAAATAGACATATAGAGCACCGATTGCAATTTACAATGATAATTTCAATAACAACATTTATTTATATGTGTGGCGGTTCGTGTTTCGTATCTACATAAATTTTTTTCGTTTAACCTTTAGATTATTGTCTCTTTCTTTGTATCGGAAAAAAAATTATCGAATTTAACTTTTTTTTAAGCAATAAGCCATCATCTTAAACTATGATGGAAAAACCTATCATGTAATTATGTACTCCCTCAATCTTATAAGAATAGTCCATACAAAAATTTTTAAATTGTACTAACTTTAATAAATTTACAAATTAATGTGGACTTAGATATCTTTAAAAATATGAGGAAACATTTTTTTCTATTGTTATCATGTTACTGGTAGTGCTGCTCTAGAAGCGAAGCTGAGCACTGAGGAAGAGGTTAAATTGATGCTTTACGACACCCTAATAAGTCTTTTTGACTCGAAATATGAAGAACTCGTCACTCGTGATGAAGGTCTTATGTTACTACATTCTCCAAAAGTCAAATTTGCGCTAGTTGTACGGTCTCTTGAAACTATTTCCACCATTAAACAGCCAAATAAAAGAAACATTAAGAAACTGGTAAACCATTTCTAATTACATAGTGCATTGACCTCACAAGGCAGTTAATCAAAATAAAAATAAATTAATTTGGTTGATGAAGTAGCGGAAGTTATATCAACCGACCAAATAACACAAATGAGTAACATAATCTTTAATCGCCTCCAGCTAATGGTCCAGTGAGTAAAGATCTCCCCGATTAAGATTAAATGTTAACCAAGAACTAATAATAATAATCAAGCCCTCTAAGTTGATGGCCTTTAATCCGACAAATGGAGCATCGTTAACCTAGCACTCTTTCAATGTTTTTTTTTAAGGAAATCCAGGACGGTACTCGGCGGGAGGACCCTGATTTTATTCATACAAAGGTAAAAATTACACAAGGCAGTGCTTAAGACTTACCCAAACGGAAAGAATCGTCTTACAAAGTTTTTCTAAAACCTCATGGCGAGTCTCGTGCAATTAAATCTAGGAATTGTCTTACAGAGATAGTCTACTATCCCCTGACAGTTCAGCTTCCTAACTAAAAAGTCTAGGAGTATGCCTTACAAAGATTAGACATATTAATCCCCTGAGAACTCCATCTAGTCCAATATATTGAGCTATTACATTTTAACACTGAAAAACCTATCTAATTCTGATGTAAGGAAAGGAACTCTTATCTAGATACCATTTGCCTAACAAAGGTGCTGGTAGTTGATCCCGGCTGACAAACTGGAAAGTTGAACCTTGATGCCATTTTTGCTAGTTCATCTGCCATGCTATTGACTTCTCGGAAAACATGTATGATTTTTGAGTTGGAGAGACGAATCATGCGTTGAATTTCCTTGAGATTGTAATAATGTTTCCATGGATAACACTTATCCTATTGAAGCAAGTTGACTATGGCCTGATTGTCAGATTGACTAACCACTCGACTTATCCTTTTTTCCATGCACTATTGAAAACCATTGAGGATTGTTGCTATTTTAGCTGCAAAGCTTGTTGCTATTCCCATGTGTTGGCATTCTGCTCTGATGAATTCACCATTTCTTCCCCCGAGTACATATCCCCATCCCGCTGCTCCAGGCACTCTAATTTCAATACCAACAAATGGACTAAAAGAAAATTAAACTACTATTTCAACCACCAACAAATGGAACATAAAAACTAGGTTTGAGAGAAATCTCAATTTTAAATGATATTCAACAACCATATACATAAAGCCGGTTAAAGCCTTTAAATAGAAAAACTATAAAAATAAACCCTACTCAATATGAATATAAAATTACAAAGATACCCTCACTATTAAACCCTAATATATTTCTAGTATACGCCTCCATGAGTTGGCTGCTTCTATTTTTTTTTTGCCCTTTCTATACAATAAAGAAAGAAAGTAAAGTACTAACTTTTGGTACAAATAGAGAGGAATATATAGTTTGTCCCTTTCAAATTTAAACGAAAACTGTGCAAAAAACAAGAAATTTTGACTATATTGATTCCCACCACAGTCTAGTTAATTCTGCGACTTAGAAATCCAAGAATTTGTATTACATTCGTGGGTTGATGCCAAATGATCAAATGATATCTAAGAGTTAGAGTCTCCAATGGCTAGCTAGTAATTGATAGCAACACAAAATTATTAGCAACAAGTTTAAAAAAATAAAATGCCAGAAATGAGCAACAGACATTATTTTAAACTCACACAAGACACTATCGAAATGGGAAAAGATACAATCAAAATTTCAATCAACACAACTAGTGAAAGAGTTATCAATGTAAAGGAGGATCGAAAAAGCAACCTACATATCGGGCTGCCATTCGTAAGGATTAAACCAGGAGCTCTTAAGAATCCTTACGGCACCAAGACTTGTTCTTGTTCCACCTATAACTCACCAACGCAACTAACGACTCCAGGATATTTTGATTCAAGAATGAATCGAATGAAAAATTCAAAAGATGGTAGACAAGAAGATGGAACAAGTGTTTTCGGAACGAACCCCAATAGAACTTGTCAATTAAATCTCCACCTTCAGATAAAAACGCGCCGATTTGCTCCAAAAAGGACATGAACTCAGTATCCAAGTTGAAAAACAGCAAATCTCGAACAAGAGTAGCCGTACAGTTTGAAAGAACCTCAATCCAAGATTATGCACAAAATTAATCTCGCAAGATTAACCGAAGAAAAGAACATCGCACGTTCTTATCAAATCATTATCAAAATTCAACAAACCACCATATTAAAAATTCAGTCAAACACCCTATTTATAGGAATAAACGGGCCTTTACAAAGCAAAGCCCAAATTCAAGGAAACTCTAATTGAATTTCAAAAAATATTAAAATAACTAAAATTTATATTCTACTAGGAAGCAATTAAAAAGGCTACTTCTATTACAAGTAAAACTCTTGTAATTGGAAATTAGGGTTTTAGGAAGGCCTTAAACCCCGTAAATCCACATCAACAAAATAGTTCTACAAAATGATTGGAATTCACTCATCGTTATAGCAACTGCAATGAAAAAATTCTATAATAACTATCTTTTAATTTCAAATGAGTTTTTACTAATATTATCTAGGTTAGATAATTTCACCTAAAGTTCAGGACTTCTATTTCTAGTCAGCCTACCACCTCCCAGCTGTTACCAACCGGGTCAGAATTAGAAGAAAAAAGAGATCAAGGACCAGATATCAGAGGGTCGAAGAAGAGAATTGGGGTAGAAGGTGTTAGGGTTTCTTGGAATTGAGAGAAACAGAGAAGGAAATGGAAATCCAATTTCTGGAAAAATGAGTTACACGATGACGATTACAAACTCTGCTATTTATATAGGCATTTTAAAGTGTCAAGATACAATGCAACCTATTTTCCAATATAAAACAAAAACATAATTTGCAAATTAACATATCTGCTATTCACGAAACTATACAAAATATAAAGACTTTAAAAGAATAACCATAAATACTTCATACTAAAAAAACATAATATATATATAACCAAATCATTTGTTCTTACAATCCAAGGTACATAAAACGAATATAGATTAACATCTATTTAGAAAAAAATAAAAACTAAAAAAAATATAACTACAAATCTAATACTTCTTGTAGGTTGAGATTGGCCACCATTGAATCATTAAATTTTAACATTACAAAAGCAATAAAACTTCTAATCGACATTATACAACTCAATGCTTAAATTTTTAAGAAAATGGTCAAATAAAAAACGGAAGCAAGAGTATAGAGTTTGGTCCTTGTCAACTTTCACATCATTTAGAGAATGTCGAATTGATAATTTACCATATTACATTTCTAATTTAGACTTGTTGCCTTTTTTCGACTATTTCAATGCAAATGAGCATGCTGATAAAAGTTATTTTGTTATGAAAAATGAAACTTTATAATTTACCAAATATTTCAATTAATATAAAATTTGTTACTTAATAA